CTGTGCTGTCAAATCTTTGCTCCTTACATCAAAGATCTCAAAGCCAGCAATGTCCAGGACACCAATGAAGTACTGCCTGGGCTGCTTCGTGTCCAGCTGTTGGTTGATGCGAACAACCATCCACAGGAACATCTTCTCAAAGATTGCCTTTGCCAGGGCACCCACAGCGTTGTTCACCTAGAGTAAAAGAGACAGGACTAGAGTTACCTCTGAAGGACAAAGAAAAATGTGCATGTACTCCTTCAAGCTGTGCATTTGCAACTGTCAGAAGTTACCTGTGTCACGTTTTGACCTTTGGTCACGTATTCATTCCCAACCTTGACTCGGGGGTAACACAAGGCCTTGAGAAATTCAGCTGAGTTAAGGCCCGTTAGGTAGGCAGCCTTGTCAGCCACTAGAGGTGGGGAAGGAGAGAAGAGCATTTATTTATGGATAATCTCTAGAATTCAGGTAATGTGAACAACGCTGCTGTTCATGTTCTAGGAATGGAAGAAGATTTATCTCATCTCACACAGAAAGCCTGTGAAGAAATGCAACTTCTGGACACTACTGATGGTTTTCTTTGAAAGCAAGAACAAGTATGATTGGATAGGAAGAGGTTGAACCTGGAATTTCCCAGAAGAAGAACAAAAGCCTCTAGCAAGACATAAGGCAAGGTCCATTCTCTTTCTGTGGGAAGGGGATTTCTGGGTAGCACAGCTTGCAGGAGTTATATGACCAAAAAGACAATTGCCCATCTGGGTGCCTTAGTGCTTGGAGGTTTTCAAGAGAGAGAGCGAGCTATCCTGTGTTGTAATTGAAGTTCCTGCTTTCAGGCAGCTTGTGTTTGGGGAGACACCACTGGATAGAATAATGGAACTTCCCATGACTAGGAAAGCACCTCTGCAGTGAGAGGGACCAGAGGCAAAACCAGAATTCCCAGTGTTTTAACTGGAGACTCTGTCCAATTGCAGTGTGCCTCTGGAGGCTAACATATCACCTCTGGAGGCAGAGAAGGGCTTGGCACAAACCAGCCGCTGAATTTGGTGATACCTTCTGTGCCATCAGGCTCTGCCTGCTCCTCTCGTTGTTTCTGCTTGAACTTCAGGTTCCCGTAGTGCATGACAGCCCCTGTCAGCTTGTAGATGGCTGTTTTCTCATCTGGAGTGAAGCCCAGGATGTCAATGGCACTCTGCAGTCAAAAGAATGAATTCAAAAACATGTCCTTAGTGGGGCAGAGATGTCACCCTCAAGACATGCCCAGGAGGTAAGTTGTTGTGTGTTACTTACATCTGTAGCCATGAGCTCCTCCTGGTCATCAATGCTGGGGACAGTGACCTCCCCTTGACTCACGAAGGCAAAATCATAAGGGTTGGTAGTAATGAGGAGCATTTCTGAAAGCAGGAAGAAGCAAGGCAAAGGCTTACTTTAGCCCATCAGGTGAGAGAGGGAACTGTTCAAAAGGCCGTAATGCTCCTTCCTACCGATTAGCTCTGGCTTCTTGTTGGACATGATCTGATAAAAGATGTGGTAGCTCCTTTCCGCCTTGAGCTGGAAAGTGACCCTGGACTTCTCCAGCAGATCTGGCAAGGATGGTAGAAAGAGTTAGGCACTTGTGGGAATGTACATGGATGTGGGAATTTGGGAAGGGATGGGAGCAGTCCAGGAGAATCTCTTACAAGTTTCAATGTCAGCAGAAGCCAGTTTGCCTGTGGCACCAAAGTGGATTCTGATGAATTTGCCCTGTTAAGCAGAAGCAGCAGCAGGTCAGCCTGGATGTGTACTGCTGACGTCTCCTTTGCATGAAGAACTGCTCCAGCATCATTTGTGATGCCATGAGGGGGAGAGATTTTATGCAAA